TTGTAAAGGCTGAAAGTATGCAACTGCTTTTTTGAGGCTCTGTTTAAAATCACAAATTCTGTTATTTTGTATGTTATTTAGTATGAATTAAATCAATGATGTAGGTAGGTGCCATGCTATAGAGGGCTTTGAAAGTAAGTAATAAAATTTTAAAATTAATTCTATATCTTGCTGGTAACCAATGTAAATTTATCAAAACGGGCGTAATATGGTCATACACTGTAAAATGGAAAGAGCCGAATCGGCCCCAATTTCTTGAGGGCCGATTTGGCCCCTGTTGGGCCGTTTTGGATAACAAGAGCCAAAACAGTTTCAGATGGTACCGATTCGGCCCATCTTATTTCTGAAATGGCCACACTAAACACCATTTTGGCCCTTCCCCTTAATTCGGCCCCTCTAAGGTCCAAATGAGGAAATGCCGATTTGGGCCCAAGAGGGGCCATTACACTCTATTATTAATTGAAATTACAAATAAATTTTTATGATTTTTTTTTCTAATTCGTAACCGATTAAGGAAGAAACGGAGACACGTTGGGTCTAAAATAATTTTTTTATTTGTAGGAAGATGATACTCTTTTGTGCAAATTATACATATATAATATATACATGCAATTTATCAACTTCCAATCAAGACATGGTAAATGTATGTAAAACTATTTGTCTTTGTCAATGTAATATTGGGATACAGTATAGCTTTCTTGATGACAAATGTATTATTTATGATCATGATTAAATCTTCCTGTGTTATTCCAAACAATATCCTTATACCCAGGGAGGGGGCTAGGGTTTAGAATGCTAGGAGTCTAAAATGAAGAAGAGCTATGTCTTCCCTGTGAAAAGCAATCTGTTGTCTCTGTTTAGTGGTTTCTTGTGCTCCTTCTTTGTTTTTGTGTTGATCAACTTCAAGTCATCATTCTCATTCCAGCCGAGTTTCAGTAGTAAAATACATGTTAGAGCACCATTGTCAGCCAAATCAATATCTGAACCTACTGACCAATACATGCGTAATCTGCATGTACACTCAACCAATTTAAAAATAAACAAATATAGTGTAGCTCCGCAAGGACTTTGTATCTATATCTGCTCATTGTACACATCAACATCAACTTTTGGGCAAATGTATTTTCAGCCATTGTCACCAATAACAGTGCAAACATGCAATGGTCTGAAGGTTGTCAGCTCTGCTTGGCTTAAAACTGTGATGCCTGCTCCATTCTGTACTCTCACCCGGTACGCATGCATGTGACTTTCATAGTGTAATGTTTGAATTTCCTTCAAAACAAAGAAGACATGTGTGCTAGTTTTCGCAGGGACTGTCACAATTTTTTCGATGCATGCGAACCATGGTAAGAGCCCATCGCCTCCTGTGTGCACAGCTACTCCTTTCTTGTACTTGGTACCATGAATGATGCACCAGTTTGCCCTAAAAAGAACAAAATAGTATCAAGTACAATGTACATGTACAATCACAACATTGTATGGTATCAAAGAACAATAATAAGTTCTCAGAGTACCATGTCACAAACAAACAAAATAGCACTCATGTAAATTAATTGCACTTATCTGGGAAGTNTATTTTCAGCCATTGTCACCAATAACAGTGCAAACATGCAATGGTCTGAAGGTTGTCAGCTCTGCTTGGCTTAAAACTGTGATGCCTGCTCCATTCTGTACTCTCACCCGGTACGCATGCATGTGACTTTCATAGTGTAATGTTTGAATTTCCTTCAAAACAAAGAAGACATGTGTGCTAGTTTTCGCAGGGACTGTCACAATTTTTTCGATGCATGCGAACCATGGTAAGAGCCCATCGCCTCCTGTGTGCACAGCTACTCCTTTCTTGTACTTGGTACCATGAATGATGCACCAGTTTGCCCTAAAAAGAACAAAATAGTATCAAGTACAATGTACATGTACAATCACAACATTGTATGGTATCAAAGAACAATAATAAGTTCTCAGAGTACCATGTCACAAACAAACAAAATAGCACTCATGTAAATTAATTGCACTTATCTGGGAAGTGCTAACATTGAAGACACTTGGAAGCTGTCTACGTGTAAGATGTTTGTGTCATGTATAATTATGGAAATATCAATTATTATATAGTTATTATTATTATTATAAACCATGTTCAAATCTACAATCAATCCAGTGGTGCAAGTTGTATTAAAAGGATTATTTATTGCTTACTCATAAATTAGGTCATCATCTTCCAGCATGTCTAGCTTCTCAAGAAGCATGTTGAAGTAGTTGGCCCTGATAGCTTCTTTTGGGGTTCCTAAGAAAATAATACATGCATTTCTCGATGAAAAACAAAATCATTTTCCCCTCATGAAAACCAAATAATAATAATAATAATAATAATGATGATAATAATAATTGCTCTAATAATTAATAAAAATAATAATTAATTAATAATTAATAATAATCATTGGTCTGTAGAAAACCACCAGACCACCAAGAAGTCTTTTTTAACTATAGTTATACTAAATTTGTATTTAATTTTCAATTTGAGAAGAGTTTAATAAAGTATGTTTTTTTTATAATAATAATAACTTATCTTACTTAACAATAATAATAATAATTAAAATAACTTATCGGTGACACTACTAGCAGCAAAATTGTCAATCATTAAGACTCCTAAAAGGCATGTACATATTATGCCATTATAAAAGTCTGTAAAGGTTGATGTTGTTATTGCAGCAGCACCCATAAAGTGTGCTTTAAAGGTACATTGTAAATGAGTCTAGTACCTGGGCCTAACTCCAAAGGTTTTTCGATTGATGGATGGCCATGCTTGCTGCCTGAGATTTCATAGCACTGCCTTAACTGGCTGCGAAAAGCCAATGTCCAAGGGATATTTGTAAAATTGCCAAGAGATGTGGCAAGCCGCTTGAGTCTTTCATGCTTAGCCTCAAATCTCATTGTCCAGGACCGCACCATTGGACCAAGCCTTAAACAAATAAGTATCATAATACATTGTATCTACAGCAATTGAAATTCCTGATGGTAAATATTATTGCACTTTTTCAATGAGAGCTACATACATAAACGTGAATGTCATTGTAGTTTAATAAAATTATGGTAACTTTTTTCAGCACTCTCCAATGCAAATTGTTTGTTCTTAATACTTTTAATGTGTCTGATCTAAAAAAATCATTCAGTTTAAAAAAACAGTGTCTTTCAGAATACGATAATATATAACCCATACTAGGACTGCAGATACTGACAATCCATTAATACTTCCCTGTACTTTATTTCCAGCAATCATCATCCATAAAAAAAAAAAACAAAACAAAAAACAATTCAACGAAAATGTACAGAAAGTTACCTGACCATTGTCCTCGGGTAATGAAGAATGTAATGCATCTTGGGGATGACTGAACAATTAGGGTACAACTGGACAAATCTGCTGTGGTGGTCTGTAATTAAATCCCTTAGGTAAGCTGCTTTGGCAGTGGTTGTCACCTCAGCAGAAATAATATACACTATTTCCAACAGAATTAGGAAGAGACTCCAATTCTCATCTCCGGCAGGTATGTAGCTTCCAATCATCAATGGCAAGAATCTGCCCAGGCACCACATCTGCGATGCTTAGATAAAAAAAAATCATAATACTCATCAAAACTAAGGGAAGATGTTGTGTAGCAGTAGACCTTTCTAGCTTGTAGCTTGTAGGTTTTGTTTTCCCATTGTAAACCATGTGATGTTACCCCAGACAATTGTTTCTTTCGAATATCGTCCTATGCACGTGCATCCACCTTGCATATGCATGCATGACTAATTAAAAGACAAAAGGTAAATTCCCTTGAGAACATCATGTGGCCCGAATTGTAAAAACAAAACATACAAGCTAAAAAGGTCTATTGGCATCCAGGAAATATTTTTTCGAATAACTTTTCTCACCCACTGATTGCTCCAGAGCTATGGTCTGTAATCTTACTATATTCCATAACAGAGATTAAAGCTAACCAACGTTGTAAAAAAAAAAAAAAGAAAAAAGTTTTGATTGTTGTGTTCACTGTACTGATATCTTCTTAGTCACCAGGGGAATGAAATCAAAGTTTTGGCTATAATAAAAAAATGGATAATGTAAATGTACAGATGTATTTAAAAAATACCACAAAATACTGTTAACACATTATTTACCTCTTTGTTTAAGGGAATTTGTGTTAGAATTTAAGGTGGTACTTGATATAACACATGGTTTGTTGGACACATCAGGAAAGCCATAATCAACATTTTGAATACACTGATTCAAGTTATCCAGAGTTAAAAACTGCTGTTCATTTATGGTATATTTTAGCAGTTCTTTGACTTCATATTGGAGAAGCCCTTCCAGGACATCATGCATGGCATCGCCGGGGAGCCCCTCAATAACATGAAAGTAGCGTGACTGGTTTAGGATTGATCTAACATTTATTCCAAAATGTGAAGAAATGTCGACATCTGAAGTTTCAATGGCTATGCACTGCTGGTCATACATTGCTCTTGTCCGCAGCTGGAAATCATCTTCACTAAACTAAAGGAAATAAAAAGAAAGAAACTGTGGTTTTTCAGCACCTTATTTTGGTAAATTACCCACATTTTGAGTAATAATTATTATTAGTTACTTCATTAATAGTCCTTCAATCAGCTCCAATATCTATGATTGTATTATGTTTTTCATATGCAGACTGCAGGCAATTCAAGCACAAAAAATTAATTTTAATGATCATGAACTCAATAAAACTCTTTAATTATAGAATTTATGTTCCCTAGAGGCCAGGGATCCACAAGCAATTTCATTATAAGAGACAAAAGAAAGACAGAACCAAAAGAACCTCCTTGCACCCTCTAACTAAACTAAAAGCTCCTTGAAACCGTAGTGGAAGAATACCAGTATTCTGCAGTCACAATAATTCAAATTACTCAGTGTTGTATCATGATCAACTCGTAAAAAATAATATCAAATGGTACAAGTCTAAAAATTTATTTTAGGCCACCTTAGTAGCAACATCATTTGCATTTCCCATGCACACCCTGCACTTCAAAGCAGAGGCGCTTCCAATTTTGAAGCCCCCAACCTCCTGGGATCCCAGGTTGTCTCCAGAAACAAAACTGATGGTACCAGTAAAAGCCTTCCTTTGACCATTGATGATAAATTGGTGCCCTCCGTCCTATAAACAGAAAAAGAGATATGAGTACACAATTATTCAGAGATCATGGCTGTCTTCATGATCACTTTAGGCTAGATCTGCTACTTTCTGCAGAAAGCATAAGTGCAAATTAGTGAAAAGGTATGGTAGTACACAACTGAACTTCTTATCCAAAATACTTGTACAAAAAAAGTGATGATAATTATTGTAATCGATACGTTCGCCACAGATATTTACTGCAGTGCAGTCAATTACATGTACATGTAGTTATCACCTGTTCTAGCTGATTAAGCTGTGTCATGAATGATTGAAGAATTTCATTGCATCCGTACTTCTTGATTACAGGCTTTTTTGCTATCGCCAGAAGCTGCATTGCCTTCAACTGAGAGCGGTGCATTGGGTCAATATTTCCAAGTGTATAGTAAAAGACGCCTATGTACCAGGTAAAAATGAAAATAAAAGATACTGTTGAGTTTAAACATAAGGGGAAAATATCAAGAATGCCATTTACAGTTTCATGATAAATGTTTTGGCTTTTGAAATTTGGAGTTTACATAACTAAAAACAATAACATTATAAAATACAAGAATAATATCTTATTACCAACTTTATGTTTAGTGGTTTTACTGCCCAAAGGATTCACAACCTCAACATCATCGTAATACAATTGTATCTGTAAGGCACATAGGTCCCGTGAGAAAAGGGGGTGCTGCCGGAAAACCTCTCTCAGCAATCATTCCATCATGTCGCTGGTGTGAATTTTCGACTTGTTTTAAAGTAACTTACATAAATTACTGTCTGTCCCACGTCCAAATCTGGTAACAACAAAGTGATGATATGTAACTCAAACAAAGTTCAGACTAGTAAAAAAAACTAAAATATGCAATTCAAATGAGAAACATCTAATAATTAGATGTTTTCAATTAAGACCCACCCAAATTTACCAGATGAATTGACTAAGATACCACACTTTACAAGAGCAAAATTTAAATTTCACAACTCTAGTTTCCACAAATCAAATCCCAAGAAAATAGAATAAAACAATATTTCAGGACCTAATGAAAATTGCTCATAGTTTACACGGTATATCATGTACGTATACAAGTACATGTATATCAATTTCCAAATAGCATCAGTTGGTAGATAGAAATCCAAGAAGGCTTTAAGTGAACAAGATAAGGAGAGCCGGACAAGGCAAAAGCCATGGATGAGTTTGGAGCAAATATTTGTCTTCTCCTGTTAATCAATACTGGTGCATCTGTAAATTAACACAGCAATGAATGTAATAGCGGAGCTCTGGCGCGCGAAGCGCGCCTGCGGAGCACCATGGGTAAGTAAATCTACCCATCCCAGAAAATTTGGTAATCACGTGACCGTACACCGCCCTCAGCCCGCCCGTCCGTCCGCACCACAGGGCAACCAATGTTCAATCACACTTTCTAGTTTGGGAGCACAGGAAGACTGATATTGCAGACATATTGCACAT